ATGCTAGTGAAGGTCCAGCTTCACTCTATTTCCTCATTAGGCAAGGATGTTATGAATGTTACTGACATTCTCATGGCCCAAGATTGCTTCATGTGGTATAAAGCCAACTGTGAGTGGTAAGTATCTCTTTCAATTCTAAAGGGATAGAATTGTGTACTTAGTTGTTTTTTTATTTGGGATAAATGCTCCCATAATATCCTTAGTTCTGTGTAGCCTATGCAGCCATGTGGTTCAAGTATTTTAAACATTTATAATATGTACATAAAGTGCCACAGGAGTTCTGAGTTAGACCTATTTTTAGGGATGGGTATGGTTGCTCCCTTTTTACAGGAAGATGTCTGTTCCCAGGGATTACTTGCCCTGTGGAGAAAAACTGAGTCTCTTAATGGTCTGGTATTCCTTTTTCATTCTGATGCCACTTAATAAGCTCTTTGTTTTTGTAAGGAAAACTGTCCCTGTTATTTCACTATATCAACCTTGGCTTCGAGGTGTAGTACTTGATTTGAAATCCAACTTTCTTTAACATTCATCGTTCACTAGAGGGCACCAACTGATCAACAAAAACAATAGCTTCTCCCCAGGCAAAAGGTTTCCCCCTAGAAGAGAATACAGGTCATACCCAGGGCTAGAAGAGTGTTCTATAAAAGGTTGCAATCTGGTGAGGCCCATTACCTAAACTGATGTGGAAAGAGTGACATTGACCGATACCAGGGGAAGATATTTAGTTAAAGAAATGCCATCCTTTGAACTCAAGAGATCTGAAACAATATTGAGCTCTTCATCCAAGTAAGAACAGCACTTAATTTTAGCATTTTTGTTGGCAGGGTTAAAGGATTGCATATTCCTGTCTAATTTTCCTATCTAAGTAGAGTCTCCTAAACCATACAAGAAAAGATCAATTTTCTTAAACAAACAGCAGCAAGAAACCTGAAAGGGAAATAATGTAAACAACAACCAACCAGAATGCTGTTGCCATGCTGAAGAATGTAACAACTGATAGCCCCTGTTTAATC